CATACACATATATATTTTCATTTTATGGTTTTGAAATGGTCTGTGGAAAATAATGTTTATGAGCATAATATTGTACATTAATACTTTCCACTTTAATTTGACTTAAAAGGAGAAAGCATGTTTGCAGGTTTTGCAAGTCACTATTATATATATGTATATATACACATATGTATGGTTATATCCATAATATATAAATTTAGTAATGGATTATTACAGATATGCTGCAATTTGATGTTTTTACGGCTTGTTTTATACTTAAAAAGGAGCCCAGAAGTAATTTTTTCCCACTGAAGAAAGAATTGTGTAAGCATTAATTTAATAGACGTGTAGAACTTCTGCCCAAACTTTGACTTCCACAAAATAAAGCTTTATTTTAAAGCACACTATTCCTTTGGCACTGGTAAAGAGAACAAACATGTAACTGCTGTCATTGTTAAATTCAGCTCAGCTAACTTAAGAGCTGTACAGCTCTCCATGTTGCACTAATAAATGCTTTTCAAAGTTACTGTCAGCCTTCTTTCATTTCCCCTTTGAGGTCTATGATAGCAGATAAAGTCTGTGTATCCTGTGAATTGTAGTAATTTTACCCTGACATCAAAGTGCTGTCATATTCCCAAATATAAAACTTGAAAATCTCAAGGAAATTCAAGGTTTCAAATAAATAAAAAGTTTTGACCAGCCTCTTTCAATTTATACTATAATCATAGAAGAATAAGTTCATAAAGGAAGGTTTGATCTGACTCCAGACCAAGATGGTGATATAGGAGGCTCCTGAATTTCCCTCAACCCACAGATGCACTGAATGTACGGTTACAACCCACAGATACACTGAATGTACAGGTAAAATTTCTTCCAAAAGAAAATTCAGAAACTAGCTGAGTGACTCTGATACATCAGATAACTGAGAAAATACCCACACTGAAATAGACAGGAAAGGCTGAGAGATACACTTACCATAAATCCCACCCCTGGCCCAGCACCACTCAATTGGGAGGGAAACCCCAACTCCATGCTTCTCCTGAAAAGCACAGAGTTTGGACAATACATCTAGCACCCCAACTTTTAAGGATCCCACTCAAGGAATGGACCTCCAAATCAACTAGCTTCAAAAGCCAGTGGGGCTAGCATTCACAAGTCCCATAGGACTATAGCAAACAGAGAAGCAGTTCCATGGAAATAGAAACCAAAAGAAAGCAGGAGTAACTATATTTACATCAGACAAAATAGACTTTAAGCCAAAAACTGTAACAAGTGACAAAAAAGGTAATTATGTAATGGAAAAGGGGTCAATTCATCCAGAGCAAATAACAACTGTAAATATTTATGCACCCAACATTGAAGCACCTAAACATATAAAGCAAATATTAACAGATCTGAAGGAAGAAATAGATAGCAATACAATAATAGCAGGGGATTTCAATACTGCTTTCAACAATAGATAGATCATCAAGACAGAAAATCAATAAGGAAACATTGGCCTGAAATGACACATTAGATGAGGTAGACCTAATAGATCTGTACAGAGCATTCCATCCAACAGCATAAGAATACACATTATTCTCAAGTACACATTGAACATTCTCCAAGTTAAATCATATGTTAGGTCACAAAACAAGTCTTAGTAAATTTAAAAAGCTTGGAATAATATCAGTTATATTTTCCAACCATAATGGTATGAAACTAGAAATCAGTTGCAAGAGGAAAACTGGAAAATTCACAAATATGTGTAGGTTAAACAACATGCTTCTGAAAAACCAGTGAGTCAAAGAAAAAAATCAAAAAATATGGTGAAACAAATGAAAATGGAAACACAACATATCAAAATTTATGGGATGCAGTGAAAGTAGTTCTAAGATGGAAGTTTAAAGTGATAAAACATCTAAATTAAGAAAAAAGAAGATCTCTAATAAACAACCGAACTTTACAACTTGATGAACTAGAAAGAGAACAAACTATGCCCATAGTTTGTAGAAGGAAGGAAATAATAAAGATCAGAGTGAAAATAAATGAAATATAGACTAAAAAGACAATAGAAAAAAATCAATGAAACTAAGAGCTGGTTTTTTGAAAAGATAAACAAAATTGACACACTTTTAGCTAGGCTAACTACCAAAAAAAGAGAGAAGACTCAAATAAATCAGAAATGAAAGAAGAGACACTCCAATTGATAACACAAAACAAGAAGGATCATAAGAAACTACTACGAATAATTATATGCCAACAAATTAGAAACCTAGAAGAAATGGGTAAATTCCTAGAAACATACACCCTACTAAAACTGAGTCATGCAGAAACAGAAAATCTAAACAGACCAATTACTAGCAAGAGGATTGAATTGATAATCAAAAACCTCCCAATAAAAAGAAAAAAAACCAGAACCAGATGGCTTCTATGGAGAATACTACCAAAGATTTAAAGAAGAATTAATACCAATCCTTCTCAACCGCTTTCAAAAAATAGAAGAGGAAGGAACACTGCCAAACTCATTTTACTAGGCCAGCATTACCCAGAAACCAAAACCAAACAAGTACAATACAAGAAAAGTATAAGCCAATATACCTGATGAACACAGATGCAAAATTCCTCAACAAAATATTAGCAAACTGAATTAACAGTACATTAAAAAAATCATACACCATGATCAAGTGGGATTTGTCGCTAGGAGGCAAAGATGGTTCATCATCCACAAACCAATTAATGTCATACACTACATTAACAAAATGAAGGATAAAAATCCTATGATAACAATAGATGCAGAAAAAGCATTTAACAAAATTCAATATCGTTTCATGATGAAAATCTCTTGCTGAGCTGGGTTTAGAGGGAATGTACCTCAATATAATAAAGACCATATATCACAAGTCCACAGCTGACATCATGCTTAGAAGGAAATATTAAAAGCTTTTTCTCTTAAATCAGGAATAAGACAAGGATCTCACTCTTGCCACTTTTATTCAACATAGTACTGGTAGTTCTAGCCAGAGCAATTAGGCAAGAAAAGGAAAAGAAAATACATCCAAATCAGAAAGGAAGAAGTAAAATTGCCTTTATTTGCAGATGACATGATATTATATATAGATAACCCTAAAGACTCCATCATAAAACTGTTAAAACAATAAACAATTTCAGTAAAGTGACAGATACAAAATCAATATACAAAAATCAGTTGCATTTCTATACACCAACAATGAATTATCAGAAAAAGAAATGAAGAAAACAATCCCATTTACAATAGTAGCAAAAACAAAAACAAAAAAAAATACTTGGAAGTAAATTTAACCAAGGAGGTAAAAGATCTGTACTGAAAACTATGACATTAACAAAAGCAATTGAAGAAGACACAAATAAATAGAAAGACATTCTGTGTTCATGGACTAGAATTCATATGTTAAAATTTCAGTGTTACTCAGTTATCTACAGGTTCAATGCAATCTTTATCAAAATTCCAATGGCATTTTTTACAGAAATACATGAACAATCTAAAATTTGTATGGAACCATGAAAGACCCTAAATAGCAAAGCAATCTTAAGAAAGAAGAACAAAGCTGGAGGCATCACACTTCTTGGTTTCAAACTATGTTACAAAACTAGAGTAATCAAAACAGTATGGTATTGGCATAAAAACAGACATATAGATCAATGGAACAGAATAGAGAGCACAGAAATAAACACATGCATATATGGTCAATTAATTTTTAACAAAGGCACCAAGAATACACAATGGGGAAAGGATAATCTCTTCAATAAATGGTGTTGGGAAAACTGGATATCCACATGCAAAAGAATGAAATTGGACCCTTAACTTACACTATGCAAAATATCAACTCAAAATGGATTAAAGACTTAAAGGTAGACCTGAAACTGTCAAATTCTTAGAAGAATACATAGAAGGTAAACTCCTTGACTTTGGTCTTGGCAATAATTTCTTGGATTTGACACCAAAAGCAAAGACATCAAAGGCAAATATAAACAAGTGGGATGCCATCAATTTAAAAAGCTTCTGCACAGCAAAGGAAAACATAACAAAATGAAACGACCACCTAAAAGTGGGAGAAAATATTTGCAAATCACATATCTGATAAGGGGTTAATATTCCAAATGCACAAGGAACTCATACAACTTAACAGCAAAAAAACAAAGAACTCAATTAAAAAACGGGCAAAGGGCCTGAATAGACAAAGAAGATATACAAATGGCCAACAGGTATATGAAAAAGTGCACAAAATCATTAATCATCAGGGAAATGCAAATAAAAACCACAATGAGATATCACTTCACAGCTTTTAGAATGGCTATTATCAAAAAAGAAGAGATAAGTGTTGGTGAAGATGGGGAGAAAAGTGAACCCTTGTGCACTGTTAATGGAAATGTAAATTAGTGCAGCCACAATGAAAAACAGTATGGAGGTTTCTCAAGAAATTAAAAATAGAACTTCCATATGATCCAGCAATGCCACTTCTGGGTATATATCCAAAGGAAAGATATCACTACCTTGAAGAGTCATCCGTACTCCCATGTCCATTGCAGCATTTTTCACAAAGTCCAAGGTGTGAAAACAACCTAAGTGTCCATCAACAGATGAATGGATCAAGAAAATGTGACATATATACAATCATGCACTGCATAACAACATTTTGGTCAATGACGAACCACATATATGACAATGGTCTCATAAGATTAGCACTATATATCCTAGCTGTGTAGCAGGCTATACCATCTAGATTTGTGTAAGTGCACTCTATGATGTTCACACAACAATGAAATCACCTAAGGATGCATTTCTCAGAACATATCCCTGAAGTTCAGCGATGCATGACTGTATACAATAGAATATTTTTCAGCCTTAAAAGTAAGGAAATCCTGCCCTTTGTGACAACATGGATGAACCTGGAGAGCATTTGGGTAAATGCAATAAGTCAGGCAAAAATAGACAAATACTGCGTGGTATCATTTATATGCAGAATCTAACAAAAAAGTCAAACTCATAGAGAAGAAAGAAGAATGTGGTCACCAGGGACTGAGGCGTGGGGGAAATAGAGAGAGGCTGGTAAAAGGCACAGACTTTCTGTTATAAGATGAATGAAGTCTGAGGATCTAATATATAACATAATGACTATAGTTCATAACACTATATTTTATAGTTGAAATTTGCTAAGCGAGTAGAACTTACGTGTTCTCATCAAAAAAAATAGGCAAATATGTAAGGTGATGGATACATTAATTTATTTGATGGTGAGAATCTTTTCACAATGTGTATGTATGTCAAATCATCACATTGTGCACTTTAACTATATTACAATTTTGTCAATTATACCTCAATAAAGCTGAAAAAAAAAAGGATAAGTTCATGTTTGTAGAACCCAATTTAAGGTAGTATATTTTCCTACACATGAATTCTACTTCAAGTCTGATGTTCATGGTGTTATGAATTTATAATTATAATATTAAGAAGCTACACATTTTATGAGTGTACAGTTTTTTCATGCTATTTTGACTCACTTGATTTGCTATTCTGCATCTGTTAGAGTAACTCCAAGCTATAAAAGTCATCTTATACGCCAATTTTGAATAGAAGAAATAATTAGCCCTGTAAAATATAAAATAATATGCTGTAGCAGATCTTTAAGTCATACAATATCTTGGTAAATTTAAATACGATGTGATTTTGTACCAGTTATGACCCCTGCCATACAGGGTAGCTTCAATCCCAACCCTGTCCTTAACTGCACTCAGGTGATGGAAAGATTGTGAAATATATTTTCTGCAGTCCCTTCCCAGTAGAGCTCTGCCTTAGATTCCACTGTTAAGAGGTACTTAGGTGAGATTTGGAAGACATTGGTTGCAGACTAACCCCGAATAAACACATCTTCCTCCTTCATGTTGCATTTTCATTCTCTAGCTTCAGATATGTAGACAGCTCTGAGTTCCCGGGTAGTCTCCTGAAGCTGTCTGATCTGGAGGTAATATCCCTCCTTGACTTCTGTTTCTCTAGCACTTGCAACAATTTTGTAAGCACTTATTTCTCTGTATTTCTGCTGGAAATATCTACAGTTATTTTTGTTTTCCTTATTGAACTTTGATAAACAATGTGTTTTATTTATAATTTTTAAGTATGTACAAATGAATTATGTACAGTGAAATACTGGAGTCAGCATAAAGTGCTTTTAAAAATGTTTTCTCTTATTTACTTATTTATTTTTCTGAGTGCTTGTTTTTCAACAATTGCCAGCAGCCCACTGGGTATGTGTTTATCAAATTATCTTTTTTGAAATTTGCTTGCTCTTGATTTGACTTATATCAAGGCTCCATCTGAATAGTACTTGTATGGTAACATCCCAATTCTATTATAATATTTAAAATATTATTTATGTATTACCCAGAAAATCCTATACCAAACTATTTATTTCATAATCAGTTAAAAATTATCACTGAATCTTCAATGCCTTATACAGAATTATATCCATAAGTCAATATTGCCAGTTTTGCTTTTTTAAATTTTCTCTCAGAAATGCAATCTTAACTTATCTTTACAGAGGAATAGTTTTATATTTTATTTGACATTAAATTTTAATGATCTGATTAATAGCATTGATAAACTCATTGATGTGTTTGAGAAATTAAATTGCTGATTGACTATAATTTTTTCAGATACAATAAATTTGTCATTGGCAATCTATTTGAAGGGTTTTTAAAAAGCCTGTTTATTTCTTTGAATATCTTTTTAACAAAGCCTCCTTGGATACTTTGCATTCTTTTCAATCCCCAAAATGTGTTAAAACACAAAACGATAGTTTAAAAAAAAACAAAAGTGAGCACAATTCCTACACAGAACAGGTATTAGTCTGTCAAACAATCCACCAAACTGTGACAATAATTAGTTGGAGGAATCATTTCTATTGGATAGAAATCTGATTCTCACATAAGTTTATATTTCGCAGCTACAGAAACCTGGTTAAAAGTGATTCATATCATCCTTTGTACACCCTGTGGAACTTTTCCCAAGGTCATGCTAATGTGGAATGTATTGATTTGTTATTTAACAGTTCAGTCGGTGGTCTGTCTAGTTTCTCCACATATGGAACTTGAAAATAAAGCAATGTTTATATGAATTAAGTAGATTCAGGTATGCCTGAAAGATTTCAAAATAGCTCCTTAATGTAGCTTCATGACCAGTATCACTGATATTTCTAAGAGTCTGCTACCTGTGGTGCAAAGAAATGAATATCCACCAAAGTTATCTGAAAAATCCAATTTTATATAAGTTGCTATAATGCCATGCCTGATAAACAACTGACTAAAAATCAACTACCTAAAATATTCTTGAGTGTCTCCTGACATCATACAATTTCTAAAGCCTATTTCTTCCATAAAGATTACTTTTGTAAAAGTACGCTTTTTTCTGTAAAACAAATTGCAAACATTTTTACCTTAGAGTAAGAAATATTCATCAGAGTTGTCTAGCTTTTCAAAGCCTAGCACAGTGCCTAGACAAGCAGTTGTTTGTTTCCAAAGACACTGTTGAACAAGATTGGTATTAGAAGGGACACTTAAAGAGGTCTTCTCACTGCCCACCTTCAGTGTGGCTTACGCACATCACTTTAGCGCAACAAAGTTCTTGTTGCCAATGCTGCTGCTCATAGCTCTCTTGGTGATAGACAACCTCTGCAGAGGTAGTATAGAAACGATGTTTTTTTTTCATGTGGCATGTGAGTGGTTTTTAAAAACGATTTCCTGGCTCACCTTTAGTGACACCAACTTTATCCTTTGCCTTAGTTCTTGATCTGGGGATTCAGTCCCGGGGCCCCCACATCCCAGCGGACACTTTGCTTAGACTTGGAGTTTCTCATTTGTGAAATTATTTTTCAAGGTAAACCAATAAAACTTGATATTTGATCGAATGCAGGCAAGACGAGGAAAAGGGAGGTTTTAAGAAGGGTGCCCATATTTCTGATGTGAGAAAATGGATGAATTTTGATGCCATTTACTGAGATAGTTATTGATAGATAATAATCAGAGACATGTGTATGTGGGGAAAAGGGAGGTGAGAGGAAGGCCCAGAATATACTTATTCATAGTTTATGAAAACTCTGAGTTTATGGTAATTACAAGATACTGAATTGGAAAACTGACACAAGGATTTGAAAGATAACAGCCCTGGGCTGTTTAAGTTCCTTTACATCTGCCTTTGATGAAATACAACACTATTCCAGATAGCATAGGGCAGAGGGAAATATGAAGTTATATTTTCTTCTTGAATATGCTTATAATCATTTACTTCAAGAGTGGACTCATATAATCAGATGTGAGAATTAGGGCATAAATTTTTGGTTGACTAAAGAGAGAATAATCCCAATCCACTTTTCCCCTACGAGCCTCCTGTTATAGAAGCTGAAAATGCCAGCTATGTGTCAGCTCAGCCTCTGTTGCAGCCAAGTATAGACATTTAAATGAATTCTGGTGAATAAGAATCAGGGGGCTTCTAAAACAAAATTTAACTTTTGGTCTTTAATAAATGGGACAAACGAGATACTAGAAAACTGGAGAGCTTTTCCCCCCTATTTCTGCCATTCATGACCTTGATTTCAACCTTAGAAGATAGCACAGTCACTGTAGGTACATGTGAGCAAAAACAGGAAGATGAAAAATCAACATGCTAAGGTAAGTAGAGCAAAAGTCATCATCATCATCATCATCACTGAGCTAAATTTTCTGTTATTCCATTGAGTTCTGGACTCTGTAAATCTGACCTTCTTAAGAACCATAAATGCATTTAAACAAATGTTGGTTTGTTTACCTGATATTTATAGCTGAAGGAATTTTTAATGTAAACAGGATTTAGCTGTCAACGGAAAATATTTTGTGATGAAATTAATTTCATATTACCATTGTTTATATTTTAATTCTATAGCAGATTATCAATTTTAGATTTTACACAGCATTGCCAAAATATATTCTTTATAGTAATAATATTTTGTAATCTTTTGACCTAGCACATAATTTGATATAATGTTCTTAAAAATGACATACTCAAATATGTGTTGATGGTAATTATTGTAAGACCTGTGATCTATTTACATAATTACTTCTTGTACAACCAAAGTAAAGTAAGTAAATAATTCCTTGCTTCATAAAATAAAGTATAACTAAGAATATATAAGAATATGACGGTAGATTTAAAAAAATGTAAATT